GATGGTGATGGCTAGCACGAGGGGACATAGCTTTAAATTGAGGGGTGATAGATATAGGACAGATGTCAGAGGTAGGTTCTTTACTCAGAGAGTAGTAAGGGCGTGGAATGCCCTGCCTGCAAAAATAGTAGACTCGCCCACTTTAAGGGCATTTAAATGGTCATTGGATAAACATATGGATGATAATGGAATAGTTTAGGTTAGATGGGCTTCAGATTGGTTTCACAGGTCGGCGCAACATCGAGGGCCGAAGGGCCTGTACTGCGCTGTAATGTTCTATGTTCTATGTTCATGTGATTTCTAACAGTGAAATCAAATACTTACAACTCGACAATGCCACCAATCTGGCTCTACTACCGTTAATGCACTTATGCATGACATTCTTAGTTTTACATTGGATATCAGGAATTCTTTTCTTGCTGGTTCCCAGGTTATATCTCACAGAGAGTGAAAGTTGATTAAAACTCAATTTCCTGCATTTCATATGCCCTGAATCATATTTGTCTATCAACCTCCCCTATATTAACTTCCACTGACTCCATCTTCACTATGACAGTCACTTTACATTCACCACATACATGACCCTTCAGTACTTCATTTGATCCTACCTCCTTAATCTCCTCTAATATCATATCTTCTTTTTCTTTTTAAACCTTCCAAACTTTAGCATTCCGCAAATGAATCTGTACTCTATTCCATATTCAGTGCCAGAGGCATCATTTACTTTAGCATGATTTTCTGAACTCATCTGTAAACCTTCTGCACCTGGGTAGTCTAATTCCCATCTTTAGGCGTCTTTAAAAAGTTCACTAATTTTATTATGATGTTGGTACACTCTCCTGATGTTTTTACTATTCTTTAGCATCACTCTCAATGCGAAACCTCTGACCATGTTCTCTGTTAAAACTGCAATTTAAAAAAATATATATTTTTGTTCCCTAATAGATTTCTTACTGAAGGTGTTCTACACAACTCTGGTTCACATAGGTCTGGTTATATCCAGACCAGTTTAGATTATATTCGGCCATCCCCCAACTCTGCCCTGTGATCTTACATGTCCAATATGGGGGTGTCTGCCAGTGCTGGTTGTCATGTGTGAAACAAGTGAGGCCAGGCATACTGCATGTATCATTATTTCGTAGCCTTTTCAGCATTTTGCGCAGCTTCTTCCTTTTTCTCTCATCCTTAAACATCCAAGCATTTTCATTTTTATCTTGGCTTCCTTTCCTAGAACAGAAAAAGGAACAACAGCTCAGCATACACTCATCACTTTCACACATGGTGTCTTCGTAACTACCTACCAACTTCTACCCTCAGTTAATTTTATTTTATCTTTTACCTATTGAACTCAATAATCATTGTGTTAATACTTTTGGATATTCATTAGGTCTAAAAAGTTAAAATACTATGCTGTTAACATAAAAAGAAGCCCAGAAAGTCTTCTATTGTTTTGTAAATAGTAAACAGGTGTTAGGAAGTGAGGTGGGGGTTTTTAGAAATCAAGAGGGTCATATATATTTCAAGGAGCAGGGAAAGGCCTGAATACCTAGTAAATATTGTACATCGGTGCTTACTTAAAAAGACCCCCACCAAAATATCAGTAGGAGTGAATGTGATAGGGATAGGCTGAAAGACAGAAAGAGAGAGACACGGTAGATGGTTGCTTTTCCAAATGGATAAATAGCAAACACTGGTGATTTCAAACAATCAGTACTAGGGCCACTATTTTCACAATTTCCTGCCAAACATGAAGCTTTCACCAATAGTAAGGATGATACCAAGTGACAGCAACAGGTTAAATTCTAATAGAATGGGTAGACAGGGGAAACTGGGTGGCATAATGATAATATCACTGACCTAGCAATCTAGAAAACCAGGATAATATTCTGGGGCCATGGATTCAAATCACACCATGGCAGATGGTGAACTTTGAATTCAATAAAAATCTGTAATTAAAAGGTTAGCCTAATGGCAACAATATTGATTGTCATAAAAAAACCCATTTGGTTCATTTTAGAAGAAGAAAATCTGCCATCTTTAACTGATCTAGCATCTAGAAGCATAGCAATGTAATTGACTCTTTACTGCCCTCTAGGCAATTAGAGTCAGTAAATATTAGCCCTCCCAGAGACATCCATTAAATAATGGTAGATGGTATTTAATGCAGAGTGGTGAGAGTTGATGCATTTTGACAAAATAGATAGAAAGAGCGATACACATTAATGACACAGTTCTAAGATCTCAGCAATGACAGAGGGATCAGGACAAGGTGTGTGGGGTTATGCTATGTGCATTGATCTTTGAAGGTAGCTGAGATTATGAGAGGGAGTTAGCAAAGCACATGGGATCTTGAGCTTCATAAATAGGGGCATGAATGCAAGAAAGTTATTCTCAATCTTCATTAAGCCCTTCTTAGCACACAACTAAAATATTGCATCTAGTCCTGGATACCATCCCTTAAAAGGGACATCAGAGTCCTTGGTAGGATGCCAAGGAGATTTGCCTGAATGGTTCTAGAGATGAAAGAATTTATGAGGAAAGCAGTGAAGGTCGATTGGGCAGAGGCATAAAAGATTCTGACAGGTTTAGATAAGGTAGACAAAGGAAACCAGTTCCCATTCACTGATGGTACAATCACATGGGGATTCAGAATTAAGGCTTTGGCCAAGAATTGTGACGGTGATGTGAAGAAGAAATTTTGATGCAATGAGTGATTACAACTTTGAACTCCTGGACTAGATGGGCGATGGAAGTGGAGATTATGAATGACAAAAAAGAAATTGGATAGTTTACTTGAAAGAAGTAAACTTACAGGTCTACAGAGTTACAGTGGGGGAATGGGATTTACTGCATTGGAGCACATGGCCTCCTTCAATGCTGCCATGACTCTATGATAATAGAGAATTATTTGGGGGTCAGTTAGCTCAGTCAACTGGACAGTTAGCTTGCAATGCAGAATGATGCCAACAGCGTGGATTAAATTCACACACCAGGCTGAAGGAGTCTTCTTCTCAACCTCCCCCTATGCATGAGGCATGGTGGCCCTTCGGTTAAACCACTACCAGTCATCTCTCTCTCTAATGAGAGAGCAGCCCTATAGTATGATAAGATTATAGTGATTTCACCTTTTGCTTGTAAATTTGTTTAATTAATTGTTGGTATCAAATTTTATGTTATCATCATGCTGGATAGCACAACAACAGATATATAAATGCCTGGATAGGATTGACTATTTTGTTTCATTTCTACTTCTCGCATAAACTTTTCTGACAGCATTCCAAAGAGATCAGCATTTATTTTTCTGCATTATCTACAAACTCAATGATTTCACACATAACTTATTCAATATCTAAAAAATACAAGTTAAATGTTTGGATTGGTTTAGTGCAGTAGACTTCTCAATTTCATCAAGCAAATGTTTATGACTAATTTGTGACTCTATTCCTGGAAAACAGCTGGCAGAATCAGGAGAGGTTTGGCAGGCTTGTGAATCTATTTTTTAATGGCATAATTGTGTCACTTTCGAAAGTAATCACAATAATCATCATAATAACATAATCATATAATTATACATGTTTTTGCATTTAACGTTGTTGAAGGGATTGTTTTACTGGAAATTTCAGATACATTGGGATAAATCTTCAACTTACCCTGGCTTAAAACTACATTTACAGAATGTTCAGTTTTAAAATCTGCTCCATTTTACTTGCTGTAAAGATCAGTTCACCTTAAAAGCAAGCAACTTCTCTAGTCAGCGCCTATTCCTCAATATCAGTTTTAGACCTGGGAGACATGTTGTAAATCACGCCATTGACAGATAGAGATTAGTCACTTTATTTACAATCAAATTTCATTCTTCATGATTGTGCCACTTTAAACATTCTTCATCTGGACAACATATTGTACAAGCAGTTTCTAGATCAATATTGCATAAACACATCCAAAATAAATGTTCTATTAAGTGTTACCATCCACCTTCCTTTACAGTCAATGTACCAGAAAATTAGGTGACGAATCAGGTCCAAGGAGGTTTGGAATATTTCCATAAAATAAAGGAAGGCGTCGCTAAGACCACTGTGGTAATCCATAGTAACACAAATTAGCTTTTGAAGCGAGTTTAGTTAAAGAACAGGTAGTCTAAAGTGAGAATAGGTTGAGCCAAGCAGAGGAGATTGAAGATGGTGGATGATGATTGGTTGGCCCTTCATTTGAGAAAATGGAACACAGAGCCCTCAGACTGTCCTGGCTGAAGATGGAGGTCGGAAGAGATTAGATGTTCATAGTGAAGAAAAGGGAGTTAGCGCCAGGGAATTGGAATTGCTAAAGTGAAAGAGGGAATCATAAATAGCTGGCAAGGTAACTGGAGGAGAGGAGGGGGGATAAAAGAAAGAGTCCATACAGAACACGATCAGCTCAGTTGGGCAGGAGAGGCTGAAACAACAGGGCTAGGTCTCCCAGGTTAGCCCTGTTTGTGGAACTTGGGAAGGAGATGAAAGCAGCTGTTTGGTGCTGGGGAAAATATAACATTAGAGACTGTGGGGAAAAGATCTCCAGAAGAGATGAAGTCACTGTCAGATCTGGAGAGAATGGGTTGATGTTTGGTGATAGAGTCAGGACCAGGTGGAAGTTGTTGGAACTGTTGGAGAGTTGCTGTTCTCACCCAAAAGTTTACCAACTACCAGCATCACACTGGTCACCAAATTTGGTAACGATGATACCCGAATGACAGACAGCAGCAAACTCAGCAGGAGACAGGTTAGAGTGAATAAAAGAAAGAGGAAAATTGAGATGATTGATATCACCACTGCAGAAAAAATATCTGCGATAGTAAGAGAATAGAAGATGAAGTCAAGGTGAAGGAAAAATACAGAAGATGGATAGAAAAAGGTTCAATGACTATTCTCTCAGCCGCTTGCTTTGGAAAACAAAAGATGACAGATTGAAATATTTGACTGGAATATTTGCAATGCAGAGTGACACCAACTGTGCAGGTTCAATTCCTGCACTGAGGACCATGAGGATTCTTCTTCCTCTTCCCTCATTTGAGGTGTGGTGACCCTCAGGTTAAATCACGACCAGTCATCTCTAACAAAAACAATCCTATAGTCTGCAAGGACTATGGCAGTTTTGCCTTAGAATTGCCGTAGAAAGCTGAGTAACTAATAGTGCAAGTAATCCCTTGACAATGTGATTTTTTTTATGATTACCAATAAACCTTCCCTGTCCAGTAAGTGATCAGAAAAAGAAGGGTCAAGGCCCGAAACATCAGCTTTCCTGCTCCTCTGATGCTGCTTGGCCTGCTGTGTTCATCCAGCTCTACACCTTGTTATCTCAGAAGAAAAGCAGCAATTGCTGGAAAAACTGAGCAGGTCCAGCAGCATCTGTGGAGAGAAAGCAGAGTTAACAATTTGAGTCCAGTGACCCCCTTCTTCAGGACTGGGAGCTACACTTAAAGGCATCTCTGACTTTTTGCGCATTAACAGGAAGGGCATCCCCTAGTAGGGCAGCAGAAATGAATGCAGCCAACATTTTTTTGAGTTGAAGGAAATGTCTAACTTTTCTGTCTCAGTACAAGATTCTAAGCTCCATCAGAATCTTGGTTAGTAACTGGACAACGCAAAATCAGCATTTATTTTTGCTCAATGTCATTCACGTTGGAAACACTTGGAAAGATGAAGTCAGTAGGACAGGTCTCTATTGTCCCAATTTCTAAACTGTTTTAAATAATTAGAAGTAGTTGATAAAATAAATTTGTTGGATCGTTCAACAATAGGGGGAAGTGTCTTTAAAATGGAACTGTAAAGCAAATTCATTTAGCTGGATATCAAGGAACTGATTATTATCCCTTTAGAAATTATAAAATGACTGTTATATGCCCTGAGGACTTAAAAATTCTATTTCAAAAGACAGGGTATTTTCCAAAGTCTCACAGAGCTTACTTACATTCTGGTTCATGCTGATGAGACGAGCATCCACCATTTGACAGTTTTTGGATATAAATAAGTTTTATTTTAAACTCAGTACTCTAGAGAACATCTCATTTTCTTGAAATTTTGCCTAGTTCTATTCCAGACTGAACTTACTGTCATCAACAATAGTGAATTAAAGCTTAACATGTTTGTACAGTGGTCTTCTGTTTGTTATTATCCACAGTAGCTTTAATCAGTATGTTACAGAAAGCTGTTGATAGTGGTTTCTTCAATAAAAAAAATTCCACACACAATGCAGTTTAGTTTTACGCAATTAATTGTAACATGTGGTGTAAGATCACAAAAGCAATGTGATACTTTGTTTATTTATTTACAATAATCTAAAATCCTCATCTGAAGTTTAATAATATCAAAGCAACAAATACCCAAAACAATAGTTTAATAATAGAGATACAGTTTTAGTAAATTTATCATGTCTTTGATTAGAAAATATCTATCAATCTGTTCAGAGATGCTATGACACACCTCTGGAGTAGGTGGGACTTGAATCTGGATCTCCCAGCTCAGAGGTAAGGACATGACCACTCCACCACAAAAGCCCTCTTAATAGCATTGGTAAACTTATTTGTAGCATGAAACAGATAAATACATGTGCCAAAATCTTTGTGTCAATTGTTGGTGGTAATTGGGAGGCAGTGATTCTCCTCAAGTGAATACTGAGCACGTACACAGTGCTCGTGAAAAGTCAGACAAGGTTAAAGTGGGATAAAGGAGTGCAACAGTTTTTTTACAATAAATGAGAGCTGAGAGCTACGAATTTGATTTGCAAAGGATTGGATGCCCTGGAAAATGTCACTGGACTCTTGGAACCTCTATATTAGCATATTTCTTACTTACTTGAAGGGGTGATTAGCTCCTTTGTGCTTGAGCTTTCCTTTCATTCCCTTATGTTTAGAGGGAAAACTATGACAAAGAACATAAAGAAAATGGCAAAAGGCATTTTATAAGCAATATCATTAAATATGTAAACAGTTAATCAATCTTTTACAAGTATCATCAATTTCTTTTCCCCAAGAAAGTATACTTAAACAGGACTTAATATAAGGTTATGGATGCTATTTGTTACTGTGACCCACACCCCTACAGCAATATCTATTGTATACTCTTTGAAATGAGATTGAATTATGTGAGTCCCTTTATAGCATTTTATCAAATTCCAGCCTAATCTCCAAGATTACAGTTTTCTGAAAATAATTTTCATGAGAAAACATTGTTGAATGCATGAATACCAGTAAAATACTGGTTGAAAGTACACTAATGGTTTTAAGATCCTGCAAGTGTCTATTATACCTGACTTTAAAAAAATCTAAAGTCATCTCCTTTTGCCAGGTTAAAACAGAAACTCATAAGAAATACATGCAGCAATAGATTAAGCAGTCCCTTGACCTTGCTCCACCACTCATATGAACATGGCTGATTGTCTACCTCAAGACCACTTTCCCAATGTATCCTTTGATCCCCTGAAAGATCAAGACAGGCTGATAGATTCCCAAATATAATCAGTGAAGAAATATCAACAAATCTGTGAAGTAGAAAATTTTGATGATTTGCAACTTCTCCTCATCTCACTCCAAAAACAACCAACACATTATCCTGTAGCTGAGCCTCCATCGTCTAGATTCTGGAGTCATAGGTAATGACCTCAATATCGTTGTCAAGCTCTTTCAAAATCTTCTATTGTTCACGGAGATCAGCTCTCATTCTTCTAGACTCTCAGTTTAGCCATTACAGGAAAATCACTCATCCCAGGAGCCAAAATATTGAACACTGACTGTACTGTCCTCAAGTCAAACATATCCTTCCTTATACATAGAAACCCAAAAATGCATAGAATATTCTAGGTCTGATCACACCAAAGTCCTATACAATTCCGCCAAACTTCTTCATTCTTGTTATCCACTTCACTTGCAATAAAGGTCAGCATTTAGTTCGTTTTAATTGCTTGCTGTACTTACATGCTAATGTCGGTGTTACATGTGTGCAAGATCAGCCTCCCTGAGCATCAGCATCTGAAAATTTCATGCCTTTTAAAAAATTGTTCTGTTCATCTATTCATATGACCAAAGTGAGTAATCTCAATCTTCTTCACTTTATTACTCCATGTGTTAATTCGTTGCCCACTTACTCAGGCTATCTAGATCTCTTTACAGTACGTTTTCTTTATGATTTACATTCTACTTGTTTCTGTATAGTCAGCAAACTCAGATAGATTACTCATCACTTCATCAGAGCCATTAGTAAAGATTATAAATAGGACTGATCCTTATGTCACTCCACTAGTTCAAGTTTACCTACTTGAAAATGCTCCAGTTATCCTTATGCTCTGCTCACCAACCCTCCAACAATATTACTCCCAACTCCAAAAGCCCTCATCTTGTGTAATAACCTTTTTTTGTGTGGCATCTTACCAAGTACCCTTTGGAAATCCAAGTATATTGCAACAACTGTGTTCCACTTATCTACCCTACTTGTTATATCTGCAAAAAAAAAGCTTGTCAAACAATTTCTTGTTCGTACAAATAGGTTGTCTCTAATAAATCTGTTTTTTTTAATTGCTTATGTTCACATTAGCCTGAAGGCAAGTCCACCATTCACTATTTATTGATGTTTAATCTTGAAGCTGTTTCCTTGGTAAATTCCTTAGTGGCAGTTTAGCATTGGCTTTCACTCTCAGGTACAAGGTATAAAGGTAAGTCCCAACGCCATCTCAGCCAGAATGGGAATCAAACTCAGTTTTTGTCATTGTTCTGAACCACAGTTAGCCATGTAACCAAATGAGCTAATTGGCCTCCACGTGTATTATTAAAGTTTCCTTAATAATACATTGATATAAGGCTAACTGGTCTGTAGTTCCCTTTTTATGCTCTCCCTTCTCTGAACAGCAGCGTTAAATTTATTAAGCTGCAAACCATTTGGACTATTTTAGAATCTAGTAAATTTTGGAAAATCATAATCAGCACATCCTGCGGGTATCTTGTTTCAAACCCTAGGATGTAGGCCATCAGATCCTGGGGAATTTAGCTCAGAATCCCTTACATTTCTCTGATATCGTTTTCTCTGCTGATGTTGATTAGTTTGTCTTCTCCACTCTTCTTAGCCCCTTGGCTACTGTCTATTTCTGTCATATAATATTTTATAGAAAACAAAAATTATCTGCTCAAATTCCCCATCCTTCCTCATTCCCATTAAGTTACTCCTACCTCTGCCTCTAAAGAACCAACATTTATTTTTGTTCTCACCCTCTTCCTATTCCTGTAAAAGCTCCAACAACCTGTTTTTATAATGATTAGTATTCTCTCAATTCTATATTCTTCCATTTTTATTAAATTTTTGGTGGCCCTTTGCTAGTTTCTGAAATATTCCCAGTCCTCAGGCTTACTATGAACATTATTAGCCTCATCGTTTAATATTTTCTAATCAATAGATGTTCAGAGATGTTATTACACACCTCTAGAGCAGGTGGGTCTTGAACATGGGTATCTTAGCTCAGAGGTAGGAATACTACCATTGCACCACAAGAGCTTCCAAACATTGTCTTTTAATCTAATGCTGATCTTAACTTTCCTAATAAATCACAGATGAGTCTTTTACATCGAGAATCTTCTTTTTAGTGCAACATATTCGTGTTGAACGTTTTCAAAGAAATATTTTTTACTGTTTATTTATCACTGTACATTTTAGTTTATTTGTGAAACTTGGATAGTTCTTCATTCAGTACCTACAGTATCAGCTTTGTTTAAAATTCTTTATTGGGACTTAAGGATGTTGCTTTCAAACCTAAATGGTAGCATTTTTCACCCAACGAAGCGAGCTGAGAAATGGCCAGTGCAGAAATTCACACCATTTGCAAGGCTTCATCAGCACAATCCCAGCCCTTAGAATTTTCCTGGATGTGGAAAGACTGGAGTCAGCAAGGCTCATTGCCTAAAAGTAGCAGGTAGCTAATATTGCTAGTTAGAGGCCTATAATGCAATTTGCTAGTTGGTCCCTGGATTCTCAGGTACACTGGGAACAGTTCAGCAGCATGGAGGAGAACTCCCCACCAGGCTCCTCTGACAGCACCTTCCAAACCTACAAACACAATGGTAGCAGTTGCATCGAAACACTATTGCCTGCAAGTTCCCCTCCAATCTTCATACCACCCTGACGGAGAACTAGATCTGCTTCCTTACTTGTCACCAGGATGAAATCCTGGAACTCCCTTCCTAACAGCTTTGTGCATGCCTCTACACCCAAAGGACTACAGTGCTATAAGAAAGCACCTCCTTCTCCAGGGCAATTAGGGATTAGTAATAAATACTGGTTTAGCCTGTGATACCTACATCCAAGGAATGATTAAAATGGTGGCCTGCCCATTGATACTATTTTTAAATTTGGAGAAAGGCTGCTTCCACCTTGAGACATCCTGTCTTCCTGCTTCTTCACCACCCGCCCACCCTGCTTCATTTGATGGTTCAGCTCTCTGGCCACTAATTAGCCAATTCTGGGGAAAGTCACAGAGGAATGATTGAGTCCCACAGAATGTAGGCTTCCAATCCCCATCTGCCCCCACTGCCAGAGTCCCAAAGCCCATGAAAAAAGTCCAGCCCATTACAAAATTCAATATACTCCTATGTTTTATAGAGCAAATCAGAGCCAAATACTTATGTTTTAACATTCTCAGTCACATGAGTAAAATATATTTATCAACACCACCTGAGGTTCAAAATGCACAGAACCAATCCACCGGCTGAAATACATTACAGTGACCACTGTTTATGGCTGCTCCTGACACTGTCCAAGCATGAGAGGCAGTGGCACATCACTTAATATGTTGATTCCAGCCTTGTGTGACTGTGTGTGGACTTTGCAGATTCTCCCTGTGTGTTTCCTCCTACAGTCCAAAGGTGTGCAGGTTAGATGGATTGGCCATGGTAAATTGCTCATTAAGGTCCAGGGATGTTCAGGCTTTCTGGATTAGCCATGGTAAATGCAGGGTTACAGGGTCTGGATAGGATGCTCTTTGGAGGGTTTGCTGCAAACTCGATGGGCCAAAGGGTCTCTTTCTGCACTGTAGGGATTCTATGATTCTAAGTATTTCATGATCCTCCATTAGTTTAAAAGGTGATTTCCTTAAGGAATGGGCTGGTAGATGTTTTAGACCTGTTCCACTGTTATTAAGTATGTGATGTACTAAACGTACAGTTAGCTTTGTAAAGAGACCAGACTAATTAAATTCCCACATGTGGGAATTCTCTGTATTGTCAACCCCACTCCCCCACCATTCTGGCCAAGTTTGGGAACTCTGAGGGTTTGTCTGAAACAAATCCTGGCAAAAACTAATAATAAAAGTTAATATCTGGCACATCCAGTTTCCAGCAATTTTCTCAGAGATAGTAGGAACTGCAGATGCTGGAGAATCTGAGATAACAAGATGTAGAGCTAGATGAACACAACAGGCCAAGCAGCATCAGAGGAGCAGGAAGACTGACGTTCGGGCCTAGACCCT